ACACACACACACACACACACACACACACACACACACACACACACACAAAAAGATTATGACGTACAAAAATAACGAACATAGCTCATTTGGTGCTGGGGTGCACTTCTGCTATGCAATGGGAAAATGATGTAAATCATTTACTGATGCATCAGGGTTGAAAATGAAAGGCATAGAAAAGAAAAGAAAGAGAAAGAAGGGGGAAATGGATACCAGGGCTATACAAAGGATGGACGGATTGGAGGGACATATCTGATCCATATTTCCCATCGTTTCATAAACAGATCCCTTTCTAATGTTAAAACAAAAGTAATTCTTTGTAAATTATGTCAAACCATTGGTCCACTGTAGCTCTTTCTAGTTTTAGCCACTTCCTTGTTACAGCTTTTCCAGAAGCAGCACGTAGTATCTGAAATAAGTATTTGTCATTGGAGGATACATTTTGTGATGGTAAACCCCAAAATATAACGACACAAACTCAAAATGAATATCTGTCAGAAATACATTTTGCATAATATTGTAGATCTCCTGCCAGAACCGTAACAGTGTTGGAGAAGACCAGGATATGTGAGAATGATTCTCTTCCAGGCCCCCACACAGCCTCCAACACATTGATGAATTGGCACAGTATCTTTTTTTAACTGGAGTAATAAAGAATCTAATAAGGCTTTTCCAACTAAACTCTCTCCATTGAGTTGGGTTTAAAGTTTTCCATTCTATCTCACATAATTTTTCCCAATCTTCTTCGCTTAAAGTTAGATTTCCTTCCCTCTCCCATTTCTGCTCCCCCTCATTTGTTGCAACCCCTTGTAGAGTTTTGAGATGTTTTTTTTTGGCCTGAGCCTGAAACGTAGGCATCCATAAATACTTTTATTAGAATGTTATCCCATTGCTCTTGTTTAATCTCTTTAATCAGTTGTTCCACGTGGTGGTGGACCTGTAGAAATCTAAAGAAGTCCTCATTTTTCAGGCTGAATTGTGTCTTTAAATTTGGAAAACTGTTCACTGACCCCTTATGTAGTAAAGTGCAACATGCTGTTAATCCTCGAGATTTCCAGGTCTTGAATCTTGTGTCTACGTTTGGTCTGGTGTAGGTATGAAATCTGGATCTAATGCACACCATCTCAGTATTTCTATAGCTTCTTTCATCTCCTTTGAGTTATTACCATATTCCACATTTACCACTGGAAATGGTAAACCAATCCAGGAGTTTCCCAGGTTCATTCATTTATTCATCAAACCCTTATCCCCTATTGCTGCTTGAACTCTGAACTCTGCTATTATAGCCTCCTCTGTCTATATTCTGGATTGAACCAACATGCTAATGGTCTCAACTGAGCTGCGATGTGATAATCTTTTAAACTTGGGAGCGCCGCTCCCAACTGTAAACTCCTATGTCCTATGCCCCTGCCAGAGCCACCTGGAGATGAGTTGATCCCTGGAACTGTTGGTCAGGTATATCTAGTGGAAGGGATTGATAGACATACAACAACCTCGGGAGAAGAACCATTTTAACAGATTCAATATGTGACCCAAAATTAGGAAATGGTATTAAATCCCATCTCCTAATATCTTCTTTGATTTTGATGGTCAGGGGGAGAACATTCAGGGAAAACAATTTGGATAAATCTGCTGGTATATTCATCCCCAGATACCTCATGGATTCAGCTTCCCAACTCAAATTTTCGGTAACTAAAACAGAGAATTTGTGTTTTTGAAACATTTAACTTATATCCTGAGAAAGATCCATACTGTTCCGAAAGTGAAAACAAGTTAATTAATGATAGTTCTGGACTGGATAACTGTATCCATATGTCGCTGCAAACAAGGAAATCTTTTGTTCCCCTCCTTTCATATATTCCTTTAATGCTCTTATTTTGTCTTGTCCGTTGACTCAGCAGTTCAATAAAGACGGCAAACAACAGGGAGCTGATTGGACAACCCTGCCTTGTTCCCCGTTCCAGTGAAAAGGAGTTTGAAACTTCACCATTCATTTTAAGTCTGGGCCTCGGATTACCATAAAGAGCTTCCATTGTCCTAATAAAGGAGTTGTGAAAACCAAACTCATCTAGAACTCTAAACAAAAAGGACCAATTCACACAGTCACTGTACCCACTTGTCTCGCCCCTCAGTACTGCTTTACATGCATCCCACAGTACTGGAGGTGTGACTTCATCATTGTCATTCTGTTCCAAAAAGTCTGTAATATCTTTTTCAATTTGGTCCTTCATATGATTCAAGACTTGTATATTTAGTCTCCATAAGATGTTTCTCTGATGTTGTCCGAGGTTGTCAATGACCCCGAGTAAATCTTTACCAAGAATTAAAAAGTATTCAATCCTTGAATATAATAAATGAGGATTAGAAAAATGTGTATAGTCTCTTCTCGAGGGGTTTAATTCTCTCTGGATCTGCCAGCTTTGTGTCCAGGTGGATCTGCAGCTTCAACAGCTCTGCTACCGCTTCTTCCATCACTAGTATTCGTGTCAATCCTCTTTTCCGCCTCCCCTATTCTGGTGTTCGTTTGGTTTATTTCTTCAGGGATCCCTCCCAGGTCCTTTCTAACCTCTCTTAGTTCTTCCAGTACGAGGCCCAGACCTGTTTCTTCAGTCTGCTCCAGCTCCTGCTCCCAGTCCGTCTCCTACATTTCGTTGCTAGCCTGAGGCTCCTGGCTAACCTGGTTTTTCTCGATTGACTTCGACCGCCTGCATTTTTATTCACCCACAACCCTCGATTCAACTGTACTCTATTTTACAAAATGATTTGAGCTGTTGTGGGCAATGTTTGCTTTGAAATGCCGGGAGCAGCTTTCCTAAGCTGCCATCTGTCGCTCCTCAAACCGGAAGTCGGTTTGAACCCTTTTCTGACATCAGGGACCCTGATATGAAAAGCTTTGAACTGAAGGAAAATCTTTACTATATGTCTGTTTAATTGTAAAACCTTCGACCCTCTCTTTGGAACAAATGCTTACCATTCTCTGAACATTGTCCCAGGACTTTTTCAGCCCAGGCTCTGACGTGTAAATCTTCATGCCGTCCTTTAGTTCAGCTTGTGCATTTGAATCCATCTGAAAAGGATCAGAAAGACACAGGTAAGTGTCTGTGCACAGCCAGCTGCCCTCACTTCTCCTCCCAGTGTGGGGCGGTTTGGTGTAATGCTGGGACAAAAACAGGGAAGCTTTATCCTCAGTGCTGCATGGGCAAGCTTTTTCAGGCCCACTTTAAAATGCCATTTTGTGTCACAAATGTTTGAAACGGTAGTGAACGTGGCACTTTTATCCATAACTATTGGCTTTCAGCCTGGTCACTGGAGCTTGTGGTGTGATTTGTGGCATATCAAATATGTCCAGCCACAATCCACACGGAGGCTTCTCCAGGATTCATCTGGAAACTGAAGGCCATAGTGGGGCATCTTCTGCTCCAGCTGACAGGTTTCACATTTTGATCTGTTCACGTTCCCGATCCCCAGACACTGACCCGTACTGTCGGTCACTCGTGGGCCCAACACACACGGCCGAGGCCAGGGCTGAAGGGTCCGGTGCCCTTTATCAGCATGCAGCATTAAGGGATTTGTGATAGCCTTAAAGGACTAAGAATCTGGGGTCACAGTTTGTTCAAGAATATGACAGTAAGTAGCTAAGTGTGTATTTGGACCCCTTTGGAATAATCCACTAAAAAATATTTTTGGGAAGACTGTCAATGCTGCTGTAGAAGCTGTCCATCTCTGAGCTTTCAGGCTCTTTAACAGCTATCACTACGCTACAGGAAAAGCTATTTTCACACAATTAAGGTGGATTTTACAGCAGGAATTTCTGCTAAAAGCAGAAAATAGCTGGAATCTACAAAGATTTGTTCTTAAAAAAGAAAAACTCTCAGATGGAGACGTTGAGGGTAAAATCACCTTTTCATGGAAGACACGAATAACCACCACAAGAGTCACCTCAGTCAGGACCAGAAGCAACAAGATCACAAAGAACTGCAAGACAGAGGCGTGTGGTCAGATGTCAACACAGCAGTGTTTGAATATCTGATTCTGAAATGTAGATTTTATGATGACATTACTGGTCTTCTTGTCTTGGATCCACATAAAAGAAAGGTTCCTCTTTCACACGACCCTCTTACCATGGCCAAAAGGCAGCGCTGCTCCTTCAGAGCTCCCAGACAACCCAGGAACCCCGTCACCATGGTGATGCTGCCGGCCACCAGCAGCAGATTGGCAGCTGAAAGCGATGGAAAGGACAGTGGAAGAGAGGAAAACTCTGCCTGTGTGAAGGACAGCCAGGCTCCAACCCCAAACAGGCCACATCCTCCTAGCTTTGAGGGAAGAGAGAGTCACAGCCGTTTAGATGTCTCACACAGCCCAGAAACGGCAGAATTCTGAATGAATGCACCAGTGTAATGAGACTAACTGGAATAGTAAGAAATGATTCGAGCATAGAGCACGCTCCTATCAACGGCTTATGTATTTTTAAAGATGGGGAACACTAACCCAGAAGATGAGATTAAAGACAAACATCAAATATTTGACGCAGCATAAACACTTCTGAGACACCGACATCCTGGAAAAGACAAAAGCAAAAGAAAGGTTTCAACTTTGTTTTGTTTCACCAGCAGCGTGGTCACTTTTTATGCTGAAGTTTCTTTCCAACACACTGTCCTTCCTTTTTTCAGAGAAATATGTGAGCGACCTCATGGGCAGGATTGGATGGGTAACACTGGAAAAAGTCTTTGGCTTTTGAGAGGACTCAACATGAGTGAAATGGGTCGACTGTTCAAGTCAATGAGTTTGCTCATTTTCAGTATTATTTATTTGTACTAAATCATTTAACTGTGTTTTCAACTGTGAAAGTCCAATTAGTGTGTGAGTGGTACAGCAGCCACACAGGAAGTCAAACAGGAAGCAGCCAGGAAGGAAGCTCCCTCCCCAACTCCCCAACAGTATTTACCCTGCCCAGGCATTTCCCATCAACCCTGTGCTCACAGCAAACCTTACTGTCAATACACATTCTCATTCAGGACAAGCACTTGTTGATGAGCAGAGTGGACCGGCCAGAGAACTGGACCCGATGGACAGCCACCAGGCTCTACTGTCCTGCTGCCTCTCCTGTAGCACACAGGAAGTCACGCCAGTCCCCTTCAGTCCAAAAGCACGCACCAGCTCCCAGCTGTAAACTCTGAGAGTTTAAGGGACTGATGCCAGTCAAAGCATTTCCCACCCGTCAGCCTCCTGCTTAGCCCCCCTCCAGAAGCCCATAAAGGGCAGAAAGGACCGGCTGCCTCTGTCCTGTCTAAGAGTCCCCTGGACAGCCCAGAGCTGGGGCATTGCCCCGGAGTACATCCTGCTCTGGCAGCCTCAGGGCACACCAAAAACCGAAAAGGTATTCGTAACTCTGTCTATTACCTTTCTTATTGTGCAAACTGCCTTCATTTCTATCACATGCATACTTCTCTGAGCAAACCTTTCTGGCTCTGCTCCAACTGTGAAGTTAAAGCTGGACTTCAGAGACTTTACCTGAAGACGGGTCGCAGCTCCTTTAGGCCTCTGGCAAATGATACATCCACAGCTCTTCATAAATCCTGATTCTTTGATGTTCCAGTCACTTGGCCTGGTTTCTGAACCCGTGAGATGCTTTTCCTTGAGTTTGACTGCCACAGCTAGCTTCTCTTTCCTAGCCTTAAAACTCCAATATTGTTTCCATCTTGACGGCTTTACTTTTAATGTTTGGATCTTTTTCCCAGTACTTCTCTATTGTCTGTTCCAGTCGTATTCTCTGTCTTTCCAGACAGAATCTTTTCCAGATGTGTACTTTTGCCTGCCCCTCTCTCTGTTCCACCCCTTCCCACTTCTTCACTCCTCCCTCCTCCAGACCTCAGCCTGTTTTTTGTCTCCCTTTTTTTCTCTTGCTGCAGAAGTCTGTCCTCCATTTCAGCTGTGCATGCTACATGCAGCCCAGGGCCACGCCTGCTCACAGGCCGGCTAGCTTCCTGTCCCAGTAGTCCAGTTAGCCCACCTAAATTAAGCCCATTTGAAGCTTTTTGGTTGGGTTTCACACTTGAATCCTTAAAAAAACGTGGTTATCTTATTTGCTTACAGAAATGTATTTAAGGCAGCAGGGAAATGAAGGTTTTATATGATTCTAATGAAGGCTTCTCCATTTACCCTTTGCTCTGAGGCAGTGGTGCGTACACAGGTTTTCTAATCTTTAACTCCGGGATGTGCACATCTGTGCTAGAGAATGGGTTCAGGAACTGTGAGTCTGTCACAGACTGAGGTCACATTTGAAAAGATCAGATATGCTCTGGGGTTAGGTCCACATATCCAACAGGCTATTTGAACAAATGTGATGTGTGTTGTTTGGACTGTCATGAAAATATCTGGTACAGGTCAGAAAGTCCGGCTGGGCTCACTAAGGGTGCAGTGTGAACCTAGCCCAAGATGAGTTTTATGAGTGAACGGGTGAAACTATCATCCACCATAAGAGCTCTGTGAGTAGCCCGCTGTTCTAGAAAACGAACTACACAACCACTTTTTTATGAATGCATCTTTTTTAACACATCTGCTGTGTAAAAGCGTTCAGTTGTGTTACACTGCTTATTTTATTTATTATTATTATTGTTATTTTTATTTAAACTCAGTTAAAAAAATCTTCATTTTCCCATGGGGGAAAATATATCTAATCAGTATTATACATAGTTTGATTAAAAAATATTCTTTTTACATAATAGATAAACCATAACTCGTTTTACAAGCATTAATCTGATAGCTCAGATGTAGCTAATACTTTTTCTGTTGAATCCTTTAGTATAAAGAAACTTTACATTAAAGGTTTCAACAGTGTGAATTCTTTGAACTAGGCACTCATTTATGTTTCTCTTGTTTTATCTGAGCCAAACAGAACATCTTTAATATTTTAGTCCAACTGGTGATCAAGTTCTTGTGTTGTAAGAAGAAACTATCTCCCTGTGTGCAGGTGGGGAATTACACACCACTGGCCACCAGAACTTTAGAAATTCCTCCTGTTGTTCCTTGTAGATCTGATAGATTTCTAACTGGATCATTACATACCTCAAAGTTCACACCCTTTTTTGTTTTTCCAAGATGTACTTAAATGATGTGATCAGTTTTCAGGGTGTTGGGGCTTTTGCGTTTAGCTGATTGCCGTATTAGCAGTCTTCTGGCACTAAGGGGAAATAAAATCAGATTTCCAGCTCAGCACAGAAGGCAGACAGTCATGTATCTGCCTCTCCATCCGTCTGTTTTCATTCATCCAGCTCAGCAGCAGAGTATTGTGTTACCTCACCCAACAGGATCAGATGTAAGACAAACACCTCCGTTTTTAGCCGTCCCTCTCTGAGCCTGTTCTACCTGCTGTTTCCCGGAAAGTCTGGTAGGTTACTGCACGCCTTTGACTCTTCACTCATTTTCACAGATCACTGTTTAAGATTGTTAACATGTTTTCACTGATGCAGATGCACTGTAGTTCACAAAAAAACAACAAATGAATTAAAGAAACAATTCCTGTTTCTGCTGAATGGAAGATTATTGTGTGACGTTTACAGTTATTTGTAGCAGAAAATCAAGAAGCAAACGTACTTGTGCTTCATCAATAAAACAAACACATTTGTGAAATTGTTTTCTCTGATCAGATTGAAATACGGGTCACTTTAACTAAGACAATTCAGTTCTAGTGGTTCACAATCAAAATGACATCAAATGACACCTGAATGCCTTGCAGTCACATTAAGTATAATTCTGGCTATAAACAAATGCTAAAACTTGCTTACAAATGGGAAATTTGGTTTTCTCATGGAATTTCTGGTACCAGATTATCAGCAAATATCAAAGAGGAACTGAAGAGGCTTCCTGTCTGCCTCACTCAGAGTGCTGGTGGCAGTGTGTCTAGAGAAGACGAGTTTAGTTTGATCAAATCAATTCATTTGTCCTGCATAAATGTTTTTATGTTGTCAAACACATTTGTTTGAACCCCTTTCAAACTTTGCAAGACATATATGATGGTTAATATGATAACAATCTGAAATGTAAAATCTACTACAAGTTCAATGAAAAATGAAGTTAAAGTTCAAATACTTCAGCTAGTTCAAAGCAGAATTATGAAATGAATATTATGTGACCATGTCATATAACAGTCTTATTTTGTTATCCATAAGCTTTCATAATTTGACATGTGTTATTTAGCATTCCAATACTTAGTGGAATACTGTGTTTGAGTAAGAGGATGTCGGCGCTTCACTGGGAAGCAAGGCGGCGTCAGAGTGCTCTGGACCGCCGGGTGGCCAGAGACGTACGGCTGGTAAGTCCCAAAACGTTTTGGAGGAACTTTTTAAACAAACTAAGATCCAGGAGTTTGGTTGAGGACCCACAAGTGGGTCCAGCAAGTCTACAGTTTGATGCTTTTCTTTTCAATCTGTTGATCGTTTGCTAAATCATTGTCACCTTGTGGATGATTAGATCTTTTGAATTCTCCTCAAAGCTGCAGCAGGGAGGCTCTGACACCATCTGCAATGTGGACACATTGAACACAACACAAGAGCAACCAGGTGAGGAGCAACGTGCAGACTGCATCAACTGCTACCTACTGTCGTCTCATTTTCATTCAGATAGCATCACAATCTGTTCACTTCAAAGATACAATACACTTCAAGCTAATTGGGATCCATCCAAGAGTGTCTTTTTGGTTTATTGTTCAATTGTAGAACTTGTGATTTCTGTTCGTTGCTCCTTTCATTCTCTTTTTTTGTTGAGTTTCGGAACCTGTGCAGTTGGACTTCTGCTCAGTATCTTTTCAGCCCAGTGTGCTGCTTGTCTCTCTGTCTGTGTTCCCCCTCTCTCCTGCTGTAAACCCTGCAGTCCCCCTCATGGACATAGGCTCTTTGCTTTCTTCAGCCGCATTACAATGAACTACTCACTAAAACCATCGATAGCTCCAGACTCACATCAGCAGAGTCTGATCCCTGAACAGACGCAGGACACCGTTTAATAAGGCCTCTGTCGGAGGTCTAAACCCCGGTCCAGTGCACACTGTGCAGTTTAAGTTTACTGCCCCGCACACCTTATTCTGGACTACTGTTTTTTAATCACTGTATATGCATTTATTCAAATCTCCTTCATTGCTATTTTAATTTGTGGTCTGTCTGTCTACCACTCTTGTTGGTCATGTTTTCCTTGTTTTTCAGCGGCAGGTCAGTCTGAGAACTCTAAATCTGACATGGAGAACGGTGTTCATCACAACATGAAGATCAGTAAAAGATACTCTGTAGGTGTCATGAGCTCTTGATACAATAGAATATTTGATTGATCGCAGAGGGGACATGACAGTCTAACTGACATCTGTATTAAATCAGAGCTGAACAGGCCTCTCAGGTGCCGTGTTTGAGGATGTGTCTGATCCATCACATGTCTTCCAGGCTCTGCAGTACAGCCAGCAGTGGTGATTTACTGGAGGAATGCCATTGTCATCTGGTTGTTGCCGAGTCAAAATGGCCTACCAGTGTCAATAAGGTCTTGTGTGTATGTCAATGAGCATATCTCATCTCTAAATAAAACAGCTCTCAAATAATCTATGGCAAGTGATCCTGTTGTCTGTTAGAACTGTGTTGCCTCTCTTTGGTCCATCTATACAACACTCACCGGCTCTGACCGCTACACTGTTAGTCTGTTTTTTAGAAAGATGTGTATGTACATAGACTGCTGTGGGGGCTCCCATGATGCACGGCTCCTCTCTGTCCCCTCCATGTCCGTGGGACATCGTCGTGTTCCTCTCTCCGCGGGTTTCTCTGGCCTGGTGTCATGGGGCTACTCGTTTCTTCTTTCCTGTCCAGTAAGTCCAGGCAGATTTTGACCCTTTCTGGTTCTGATGGGTTTTTTCCTCTTAAAAGGGAGGCAGGTTTCCTTCCACAGTCCCCTTACGCAAGCTCAGGACTGGGAGGGATGGAAATCCGTCAACTTTTGTTCTTTCAATAGGCCCTGACTGATTTGTACTAATAGGAACTAAATTCCCAGATTTAAAAGTCAGCTGCAGGGCAGGCTTTGTGTGGATGAACAGTCAAAAGTGCAGAGGAAAACTTTGTGTGGGCCATTTACCATTTATTTTGTGGTTGAAATATAACACATAGAGGCTGAACATGAACCCTGTTCAACAGAGAGTACTTGTAACTTAGTCACACCAGAACCGAAAACAGAAAGTTTGAGCAGTAAAATGAGTGTTAGCCAGTGGAAAACACATTTCCATGAAAATGTGATAACTGTAAACATTATCAGAACTGTTCAGATGGAAGTCCAAGGTTCCAGTATCCTGTTCTAATACATGCGAGTTCACTACTCTCTGTGATTGTGTTATCCGCACAGCTGGCACACTGTCCTGTGGTCAAGCATGCATACATACACTCACAAGAACGTGTGAAATTGTTTGAATGTTTGTGTTGCCATTAGCCTTTATTCAACCACAATAGTCCCAAGGAGATGAAGGATCTCTTTAGAAGCGAGAGCTGGTCAACCTGGCAGCACACTTACATCAGAAACACTAAAGAAACATTTAGATTAACACCATTAAAACTTGCTCACTAAACACTTGCACACAGAAAGGTAGACTGCATTGATTTCACCAGAGCTTTGACTCATCCAATAATACAAGGGTCTGAAGCTGAAGTGCAGATTCTAATTTATTCTGAGCATTAGATGCCAAGAACCTGAAAGCTTACTTTTCCGGATCAGTTTGGACAAATTGCACAATACCCATAGATTGGAAATGGAGACCTCTAGATCTCCTCATTAAAAACACAAGACAAATAATGAATGAAAGGAATGATACCTTGAGTGGTTTTGTAAATATACAGGAGTGAGGAATTGATATCCAGACAACTGGAACGGCGATGGGCGTATCTCAGACCCACGTGCCCACAGCCAGATCCAAAGCTGTTGCGATTCATAATCTATTCAGAAAGTTGGGTTCTTCCTCCCAGTTAAGGACCATGGCTTAGGATTCATGGGGGCGTTTGCTGTCTTAGTCAAATTAGATGGTAAAGGTCTATGTCAGGTGGATTCTCTTTTGGTGGTTTGGTGGAAATGGAGAGCATTTGAATAATGTTGATGAGCAAAATGGTTTGGTGTCAATATGACCTTCGATGTGTTTGGACGCATTTACCCGAATTTCCACCAGATGTTCTTCATCATCCATGACATCTTCTGGGTTGCTCTCATATATTTTAGTGTTATTGTTCCATTATCACAGCATTATGTTTAATGTTATGCTAAAGTGTGATGGAACCAATGGGCACGTTTGACCCGCACCCTGTTTTTTTTTTAAAGATTTTGTTTGCTCTAGTGGCCTTTAATGACAGTAGCTGGACAGGAAGGGGGGGGCAGAGACAGAGATGGGGAGACCTGCGGGAAAGGGCCGTGGGCTGGATTTGAACCCAGGACACCCGCTTGCGAGCAGAGGCTCTGAATATGGTCCACCCGCTCTAACCATTAGGCTACGGCTGCGGCCCCGCACCTTGTTTTTTAAAAGAAAGAACCACTTCTGAAAATGCTATAAATAGCTTTAAAAAAAAAAAAAAAAAGAAAAGAAAAAATTTCTACATTTCTCTTGGGCTGATGTAAAAAGACACCTGGCACTATCAAGACCTACGATGAAAGTAACACCACACATAATGAGGGCTTGATAGTCTACACAGACAGATTAAGAATATCTCCTCATACAGTCAGCTGAGCTTTCCTTCTAACTATTTAAATCCTTATCTAATTTTCAACTTCCACTGTTTCTTCTTTTTTCAGTTTTTGCTAGTAATGTGTGGAGTACCCATCATTTTTGGTCATCTGAACCAGCTCATTAACCACATCCAGCAGGCTGTAGTTGTGTTTGTTAAGCAATCTCTGATTTAGTGGCCGGTCACCAAATCCCATCTCCACCAGCACTGCCATCATGGTGTCCTGGGTGGAGGAGTCCACTGGAGGCTGTGAGTGAGAGAGATCTGATCAGTCCAGGGAAAGGTGCTGCTAACTACCGTGCAGAGCCGTGAAAAGGCAGACAAGAAATAAAAAGGATTGTAATCATGACTCAGTTGTGTTACTCAAAAGAAAGGCTTCTGGTGGAAGGTCTCTGAACAGACACGCTTGTATCATCTTTGGATTTTAGCTGGTTATTTTCCTGCTTCTGGGATGAAACTTACAGTTTATCTCTCCGTTGCTATTTTTTTTGGAAGATTGTACTCTTTTTGATTCCCTGTGCTTTCTGTTCTTAAAAGGAAGCCTTCCAATAGGTGTCCCCTGTGTATGCCTGCAGAAACAGCAGATCCTGTGGTTTGGTTTTCACTGGTTTGCCCTGACATTTCAAGCAAATGCATGTGAGGTTAGTGACACAGCTGTGATTTCCTATCAGTGTAATTGGAAACCACCCTGGTACTGAGCTTTCCAGAGACAAACAACACATTCATTTCAAGGGGACGTTGTATGAGGGTAGTACAAACCTAAAGGCAAAAAAGATGACATGCCACGTCAAATCAAAACAGAAACACGAGAGACCCTTATTTGGTTTACAACAGAGCCCAAACGTTAAACGTGACACATACAAGCTAAAAACAACGTCTCAGAAGAGTTAGCAGATGGCATCAAGATGCTGGAAAAGTAGGTAGTACGAAGTAGAAGCAGCCGGAGGAACAAGCTGCAGCTAGTAGGGGAACGGGTCAGTAACACAACTGGACGTTAAAAGAGCACCTCAGAGAGGCCGAGTCTTTCACATGTTCAACAATACAGAGTATTCCCTCGTCTCAAAGGACTCTGAGAGCTCTCACGGCTCCTGGACGTGTGTGACCTTCAGGCCCTCAGGCAGCTCTCCATCAGCACCGGCCTGACTGCCCTGGAGTCCCTGCATGGGTTCAGGAAGACTTCCACAAATAACCGAACACAGCTCACCGTGCAGGAAAAGGCTCCATCCCACAGAGGAGAGGCCTTATGTGAAAACACGTCTGCTCTGGAACAAAGCTTCTCCAAACAAAGCTTGAATTTCTCTGCACAGCCACGGCCGGCTGCTGCTGGTCGCAATTTTTCTTCCACTGGACTGTAGCCTGTGTTTGGGAAAAATATCTAACCATTGATAGAAGTTTCTAACTTTGAACATGATTGAAAGTTGAAATGTTGGACAGACTAATTGGGAGGGTTTCTGACCGGCTACTTAAAGGTCTGTGTGCCCCTCGGGTCAGCGGTCATGTCCTGTGAAGGAGCTGGGAGCTACTGGTCACAGTGAGGACAGAGGGGAGGAAACCTGACACAGCCCCTATTGATGCTAAGCTGAGGGCATATTTTTAAAGAACCTGCCTCTTTATGGCACTAGGAATGTAGGGTACTGGAAAACAATACTTTAAATATTAGAACGATTGCTCCCTCCTAATTGGGCTAAAGCTTTACACAGCTTCTAAATGACCAAAGCATACATAGGTACATGACTGAAAACAGCTTGTTAAATATAGACCTGTGAGGGACCTTGTCCAGTGAACAGGGCTTTGTAGGCAGAAGCAGCCACTGACAGAGCTCCTTTCACCAGGCCACTGGTAATGCCTGAGGGCCTGAAGAGAGGAAACACATTTGATGAATCAAAATGTCTAAAATTATTATTTTTTTCTTATTGAAATAGTGTTAATTAGTTAGGAAACACCATTAGGGTTATCTATTGATAACAGGCCACCCTCAGTGTGATGACAGAGACAGAAGCTGGCCTTTAGCAAGCTCATTATTCACTTAACATAATATTTACCATTTATCATGTGACTCTGAAGTAATGAAATTATAAAAAAAGATCAATTAAACAAGTATGTAGAGATTCATCTAATGAGATCTAAAATCATAACAGGTTGATGTGTCCACTTTCAAACAACAATGAACTCGATCTGGTCGCTTCACACTACCAAACATGAGAAAGATCCAGCCGTACCAAACCCAACATGCTACCCAGCTCCTGGTCAGTCTGTGGTCATCTCCCGCCTCCACTTCTGCAACGCACTCCTGACTCTCCCAGCCTGGACCGTAAAACCCTTACAAATGATCCAGAACACTGCGGCACGTCTGCTCTTCAATCTGCTTAAGAAGTCTCATGCCCCCCCTCTGTTCACTGGTTACCCCTAGTTACTCCTGGTAACCCCTAGTTACTCCTGGTTACCCCTAGTTACTCCTGGTAACCCCTAGTTACTCCTGGTTGCTCCTGGTTACCCCGGCTGCCCACATCAAACTCAAGTCCCTGATGCTGTCCTCCAAAGGGCTGAAGGGGACGGCCCCCGTCTCCCTGAACCCCCTCAGAGGCTCATGTCTGGGTCCCTGCGGTCCTCAGTGGATTGTGGTCCAGCAGTTAAGCCAATCAGACCGTTTCCCGCTGCCGCTCCAGGATGGGGGAGGGAGCTACGCCCCCTGTCTGCCCCCAGAAACCCCCCCAGACCCCCCCCCCCCCCCACCGGGGGGGTCATGAGCAGGAGCGGTCAGGTCTACAGCGGCGGTTCCTCTGGACCGTGATCTGGACAGAGGGTGACCCCGAGGCCGTCCAGACACGAGCATGCACGTTCTCTCCGGCCGAGCGCGGTCTCAGCTGGCAGGGGGGGGGCTCAGAGAGCAAACGCTTAACCAGGGACAGCAGGCAACCCCACAGAGGAGGAGCCAGCCGGGACCCGCCCTGCTGCCCCCCCCACAGCATGTGGTGATTTCCATCTTACACGTTAGCTTTAGCTTTAGTCCAACAGCCAATCAGGCCTCACAGCTGTTACACTAAGGGCACTTCCTCTGATTGTGTCTCCATTTTTCTTGTTATTTTAGAGTGGGTTTTTCTTTTTGAGTTGGCATTTTGCATGTATTTGATACCATCAATCACAGCTCTCTGCTACAGGATTCCAACATGTTATTGGGATTTAAGGGACCCCATTAGGCCGGCTTCACTCATTTAGTTGATAGATTCCAGTGTGTCTCCATTCTTTTGAAAATTCTTTTGGTAATGATTTTCCACGAGTCACATGTTCATTAAGAGCAAAAAACTATTTTCATCCACCAATCTGTTAGTTACCATTTGAAAAACTGTGACAAAGTGTATATTTGCAATTCCACAAAACACTAAAGAATTGTGATGGGTTCTACCATCATATAAGAGTTGAAACCTATAGAATAAAGGATAAGAGCTAAACTGTATTGAGCAAGAACACTGCCAACACCTGTGTGCTTCTACAGAAAACAGCCTCAAAGCTGGCATGATGGGAACAAGGAGGAGACTTAAAAGTTGGCATTAAAAGGATGGTTGGTGTAACATCTCATCCATCTCTCCCACACAAACACAATTGTGTCGTTAGCTTTTGAAAGTTGTCCACACATTGTGTCAGAATAGCAGTAGCAACACTGGCCCCCGGATCCCTGTTCTGCTGCTCGTGAATCAGCTTCAGCAGAGATCCCCCCCCCCCCCCCCTTGCCTCTTCCCCTGATCTGTGCAGCACCCCACTGGTTGTGTTTGTGAGTGTGAGTGTGTGTGTGTGTGTGGGTAGGTCAGTGAGACCTTGGGTCTTCTGGATGGTCATCTTTTGGGTCTTCAGCAGCCTCAGGTTTGGCCTTCGCTGATGCTGGAGGACCTGGAGCCACATCACAACACGTCACAGCATTATTCTGGACTCACACACCCAACTCTCAGAGAAAACTTAGAGTGAGCTGGTAACAGACTGACCGTCCTCAGTCAGGTACAGGTCTGAGCTGTCCAGCGCCCCCCCAGCCCCGGGAACACCGGGCTGTGCCTCTGCGCTGCTGTCTGGCCTGCACAGGGCAAAGCATGGAGGCACTGTGGACCAGTTTGCTTTCAGTCTTTTACTGCACCCCCCCCCCCCCCCCCCCCACCCCACAGAGCAAGAAGAATTTTTTACATCTGCAACATGACAGACTTTTGCTGCCATCAAAGTTTCTTTTCTTTAAATACTTTATCTTATTTTTACCATCTGCTTCAGTCATAAAACTGCGGGGAACTGGTCAAATTAGAACTAACTATAATGAGCTATAATCAACAACTTAGTGCAACACCTTCATCAGCCTTTAATGGAAATGAGAACTCATTTTCCGAAGAGCCTCAAACACATTGTTCTGAAAGGTGCATTTAAAAAACTTTTCTTAAGTAAGTCAGGATGTGAGAATAGTTTCTGCATCTTTCTCGTCTTTTTTAGCGGGTAAGAACCCAGAGGCGATGAGAACTGGAGCCCTTTGACACTGACCTGGACGTGCTGGCGGCGGTGGGCGGAGCCACCTTTTCAGGCGTCAGCGGTTCAGCATCCAGCGTCTGGGACGTGCAAAGCATGTCACTGGGACTAGCAGCAGGCATCTCGTCCTCTGGAGCCCCCCCCTTCTGAGCCGGCTCTCCGTCTCCTGTGGTAGAGCCCAAAAGGCCCGGGTCTGACAGGGATTTGACTGGGATGTCGCCGGGCTGGGACAGAGCAGAGCTGCGGGGGGGCAACAGATAAGAAAAGACAGAGACATCAACCAGCCCCCCTGCAGCCGCACTACAGGTCCCTCACATTAACCCTGTAATGCCAAACGTATCATATCTGATACGGTTTCTGAAATGTTTTGCGTCTGACACCTTTTGCATAATTTAATGGTAAAAACTTCAGATACAACAATCAGATACACCTGATAACAGGGGGCAGAAGACTACACAAAACATAATCTGGACTTATCGCAGAGTAATAAATTATTCATATCAAAAATGTATTTCTGTTTTTTCTTTTTACATATTTTGTTAAAAGGCCAAATAAAGACTTCAAACCAAAAAAAAGAAATATTCTGTTTTGTTTTATTCTTGGATCAGGCTTTAAAGGGTTAACAGATAAATCACGCCGATTTCTTCATTATTTTATCGACTCTGTGGAAAGTGCGTATGGAATGAAAAAAGGACTACTTCAGGGCACTGTCAGATAGATGCTGGAAACCATTTGCTTCTGCCTCTCTTAGCCTAATCTTGGGTGGATTTAAAGGATCACACAAGCCGACAGGTGAAGCTGCGGGGATCTACAGGGCCGCCGTCCCAACAACACAGGGGCAGCAAGGCGTGTTTGATGTTTTTCATTCTTACTCAAATCTTTTTACAGTCAAATAATTGGAATGTCGGGCATCCAGTTCTGGTTTATGAGAGATGGCAGCACAGTCAACTAACCCTCCAATGATAGCCAACAGAAACTGCACACCAGCCTTTAGCCCAAATCTTCTCATTAAGTTTGCAAATAACGTGTTAACTTATTGTGTCGAGAGTGAGGAGTTTTGCTTGGGCACAGGTTTGACCTCCCATTGGGCTTTTAAACTCACATATTCAGATTTGGAAGTGGCAGCATTTACTCTTAATATGTGGAAGGAAAGTATAACTCATTAAATCTATAATGAGGTGTTGTCACTGGGAATATTTGTGAAAAACCTTCTCAAAGTAATTTTTGACTAGAAATCCTTCCTCTTACCTGTACATGGACTCCCCCAGAGGCCGGCTGGTGTCAAAGCAGTCAGGGAGAATGATTATGTAGTCCTCTGAAGATGTGGAGGAGGAGCGACTTCTTGTCCTGTCTCTCTTTTCTTCCTCTGGTTTTTTCTCTCTGGGCTCAGTGATAATCTTCTTGCAGGATTGCTCGACTTTCTCTGTGAAAAGATCAAGAGATCAAACATGCTTCAAGCTTTCTTATAATTTTCGTTTTTTTTTTTTTTTAAAAGTTCAAAAACATTCATTTCACAAACAGAAATGTGTGACTGTTTCATGTGTTTTCCTCTTAAGGCTGCATCCAGGTGAGCTGTCCAGCTGTGCTGGAGGAGGTCCCAGAAGCTGGGCTAGCGTTCTAAGCTGTGGGGCTAGCGTTCTAAGCTGTGGGGCTAGCGTTCTAAGCTGTGGGGCTAGCGTTCTAAGCTGTGGCCAGCTGGGGTGGAGCATAGCTCTTTGACTATTTGATTGTTTCAGGTTTGTTCTGTGACTCATACGGGGCTCCTGACATCCTCAGCAGGTTCTGTTTGGATTGTTTTTTCTTACAAACACTTTATTACTTTCATCGTCAAACACCTTTTTCACATCAGCCATCCTTTCACTCTCAGCTACACGTAAATAAACCTTAGTTTTGTGACCTCCTCGGTTCCTCCAGCTGGTCTCTGAATAGCCGGATCTATGAGAGTGCTGTTTGTTCATTCCTGCTTTTCAGAGCTGGAGAATGGCCTGTGGTGGGCTATGGCTAACACATCTCTCCTCAGAATGCAGCAGTACTACTAACCAGAGAAGATTTCATTTAACAGTGGTGCTATTTAATGGTGCTTTAATGTCTGTTTTGTGTCAAATCTTTTATTTTATGCCCACATTGATCCACCGGTTGCATTCTCCTGCTGGAAGACGTGGTGCCTCTGCTGTTGTCTTGGGGAGCCGTAGTTTGGATGTGCACAAGGTGGCAATGCACAGCCATGTTCTTTCCCAACAAGGAAACATGTTCCACTTACAGAAGATGACGTGTGTGGATGAATCATTTACCCTAAATGTAACTGTTCAACCTAGAAATCAAAGTGCCTATAAGGACCTTCCTTTAGCTTTGACGGTGCTTTTCTGCCTTTGGTACATGTCTGCTACAGCAGAGACTGAGTCCCCTCCTGTGAGCTCATGAGAGCTGCACTCAACCTAATGACTGCTGGAATAAATGTTGATAAAGAGATGGAATTCCAGGAGCCAGTGTGACAGCATGCATCCACTGGTGTGAGTGGGTGCATGACAGGAGGTCAGGGGTTCATTTTTCATAGGTATATATAAGTATGTATGTACCTAAGAAACAGGTTGTTTGTGTTTCCACATGCAGTTCTGAAGCCATGCAAATTGGTCCACTTCTAAAGATTCAGAAGCTTTACAACTTTAGAGGAAAGCCCCCTCAGCTTTTGACAAAAATAATTTTACCACGTCATTCTTAGTTTGTTAATAAGCTGATTGAGTCCATTAGTAATATCATTAGTTGGATCTAAACGGCTCTCTATAACTTTAAACATATTTTTGAAAAAAGACACTGGCGGTGGGACCTGACCTTTTCGTGGCTGTGAACAGGCTTGGGGCTGTAGGCTGAGGTCTGGGGGCTCCTCCCGGGTCACTGAGTGGATCACAGTCTCACAAACAGACCGTGTCTCACTGAGGCCATGCCCCCCCTCCTCCTGAGCCGGGACACAGTCCTCTTCAGCTTTAGACCGCTCTGCATTGGGGACATCTAAGGACCAGAATAAAAAGGGAATTTTTATTGTTAAACTGTCTTCTGTTCTGGCACTCTCCGTAAACATCAGATATTGTGTATACACCCAGAAGCCATTTCCTGTGTCTGCTAATGCTCCACCTGCCTCTGGGGGGAATCTCTCCTGTTCACCAAGATAATGTGATGGTATGCCAAATGGTTACATATTAAACCACCAGAAAAATGGTTTCAATAAACTAACATACACATGGACCTAAGGCCCACCAAAACCAATGGCAGCTGGAGTGACAACTTGTCATATTTATTGTGGGTGAAAAGAAGGTGAGAAAGAAAAACCCTTGTTTGGAGTGGAGCCCATTGAACTGAGACTTTTGGCCATGTCTAGAGTATGCACCGATCTGTCCAAAGAAACTCCGTTTTTTCATGCATCTACACTCTGGGCACCCTCTCACATGCAGTGGATAGAAGAAGTCTACACATCCCGGTTCAAGTGCCGGGTTTTGGTGATGTAAATAATTTGACATTTTCCACCTTTAATGTGACCTTTAACCTGTCCAATGCAAATGAAAAACAAACAAACTTATAAGGGGGAAACATAGAGCATAAAAACAACTCAAGCTCCACTGTGCATAGCTTTGTTATTCTATGCTACTACTCATGTTTGAGTGTTATATCAGTATTCCTGTTCCCTTTCTGTTCTGTTGCTGCTTTTCACACTCAGATTGAGCATTTTTACCTTTTACATTTAAACAGCCCACAGCTTTCCTTTCTCATACAGCTATAGGCCCAGACCACTGGGGGAGCTCCCATGATGCCCCCTCTGTGTCTCTTTTTTCATTAATGTAGATGATACAGTATTATTGTACGGAACTGGTGTTTCTCCTTGTCTTCAGTCTGCTGTGGTGTTTAAATTCCCTCTTTCCTGCCATGAGGTTTTATCCTGTTAAGGTTTTTCCTTTCCACATCTTCCTCAAGCATGCTCAGGATGGCGTATTGGATCATAGATCATGGTGCTATCTGTTGCTTTCTTTTGCAAGGAGACATTTATTTTAGTAATAAATTTGATCTCTCAACAGCTTTAATAAATACATGAAAAGACATCTTCATTACCCATGATGCTACTGATGACCTCTGCCTCCTCCTGGATCAGACCCAGGGAAGGACTGCTCTTGTCTGGCAGGTGGCCATCTTGGGGCAGAGGGGACATGCAGGGAGTCAAGTCTGGACAGACGGACAAAGAACAAGAACTATCTAAATCTGAACTCTGAATGGAATAGTCATCAACAACATTTGTTTAGACAGGCGTGTAATTAGGAACAGCTGGCACAAAGATTAACCACTTTTAAACATGAAGGAAGCATTTTCCTGTCATAGTCACTTCTTTTACCAATAGACAGCACTGATTATCAGCACATACAGTATCTAAGAACCTCAAGTAAGGGGTAATCCAAATATAACACTTCTAATCACAACGACTCCTCTTCTAACATAAAAAAAACATTTGCTTTAAATAAAGAGATGACTGAAATAAGCTTCGATGTAAAGTGGTGTTCCAGGTAACGGCTACCCTGAAGTGCTCGAGCTCTTCTTACCAGCAGGGGTGTTGTTTGGGACACACTCCAACTCTTGGACAATGTTGATGTCCAACAGCTCAAAAGACAGAAGATCCTGACGGACAGAAACAAGATCTGGCTGGTTAAGTAGGATGATGTACATAATGGTAAGTTTAATGCTCTTATATGCTTTTATAGCATAGCTGGCCAAATGCCACAGGTGCATTTACCCACTCCCACACAAACACACACTCTGTGACTCTATGGCAGGATGAGGAGGTCAGATGCTCCTCCCTATCTTCTCTGACCTGAACCAGGCAGACCAACAGCCCCCCGGGCCTCGTGTTAGGGTCCAGTTATCAGCGTTTGGTGCCCAGGAACCAATCATCTGCATTTATATTATTCTGTTTTGTTACTAACTAGTCACGAACAAAGACGGCTATAAAAGAAACAACAAGATTTAAATCCATTTTCGATTGTCTATTGACCTAACAGGATGCAGCATTCCTCCAGTTGGACTGAATAATAGGACTGAATGAAACTAAACAGAGCCCCTGCAGGTTAGATTACCTGGGCAGTCAGCAGGTCTACGGAGGGGATGTAGAACTCTCCCTGGTCCACTGACGTTAATGGCTGCTCCCGAGGTGCTGCACAGTCTTCTCCCTCCTTTACAGCAGGAATCTTCCCCTGTAAATAAAGCCATGTGATTTGCGTGTGAGCCCACGGGTTGGTCTGCCCTGGTGCCGCAGCTCTCCAGGTGTCACATCCAGAGCAGCCACACCTGTACCTGTGGAGTGACGCAGGGTGAGACGAGTATCCCATCTGCCAACACGGGGGCCGGGGCCAGAGCGTCCACCACGATGCTGCACCACACTCTGGGTCCAAACTGCTCTCCAGCATGGGCCAGGCGCCAGTGGGAGGTGTAGGATCCCTCAGCAGCAGGAGCGCACAGCGCCACACTCACTATGCCCACCTAGGCACAGGGTGGGGGGGCACACGTCCCTGTGAGTCACAGCCTCACCAGGACCTCACCATAGACAGAAACGGTGGAGCCTGCTCATCCCACCTGTCCAGGCTGGAGAGCAGGAACGGACACTTCCCTCCAGCGGTCTCCAGGTCCCACCACCAGATTCCCCCACATGAACTTCAGCTGGAGACAGTGGAGGTTTAGCATTAGCACATTCCTACATTTAGTTTGTGTCTCTTAATGAGAACCAAGCTCATCACCTTAGTATCAGTACTCCAGCTGATAGTTCCAGTATTCCTCATCTTCCAGTACTTTATAAATTTGGTTCCAGGACGCAGTCGGGTTCCATCGGGAAGGTTTTCATCCAGAAAAGCAGCCGTCATGGCAGGAACCACCAGAGGACAGGGGCACTTTGGACGACTAGGCAGCAAATAAAAAATAGTTTAGACTCTCCTGTCCGAACATTTCTCCGTAAAAAACAATAATGAGATTTGTTTTTGGAATTGAATAGTTGGACATGCTTCTCCAGACCACTTTATCTAGTATTCTGAACAGCTGCTCAGTGCATTGGACATGTGGCTTTGTGTATAAATCTTATTTCCAACATCTCCATCATGATCTCTCTTCATCCTAAACCTAAACATGGTATCTATGCTGCTCTTTTCTCCACATTCCAGGACTCACTACCTGTGACAAAGAGGATGTTCACAGAGACGGGAAACTATACCAGCATGGTACGTGGACTGGAGAGGCCAGGTCCACAAACATCAATGATTATTTTTTCCAAATGGCCTCACTAGTCACTGCTTAATTACTTTGGAGTCTTTGAAAAGGGATGGACAACATACAACAAAATGAAAAACTTTTCAAAAACCAAATTTAGCTCAAATCTTACTCATCTTACAGGCCTAAAGTCACCATGTCTGTAAAGAGGCTGCCCTCCCCTCCCTCACAGTGCCACTACCGACTGCTGGCTGCTTATGAGGATCCTGTTGCTGTTCATCTAGCCTCTGTTGATCATATCAATGAAGTTCTCACACTGGTGATATAGTCTATTTATCAATTCATAGACCTGCTGTTGTTTTTTTTCCCCTCCAAAGAGAATCCTGAAGGCTTTTCATGCTGAATCCAGGGAGCACTCCCAAAAAAAATGGGCAGAATTCCTACATACTTGACTACTTTTGTTAGTAACCTACTCCGGGCTGTGGTGCTGGGTGGCACGAGGCTGCAGAAGGACTGGAGATGAGCTTCCCTCTGTGTGGGAGGAGGTCCACTGGATGCCCCGCCTCTCCATCCTCAGCTGTTTGCGGATCTCTTTGACCTCAGCCTTCAGCAAGCGCTTTTCTGCCTTCAGCCGCTGCTTCTCTGCCTTCCGGAAACTGCGGTCACCTCGTCTGTAGAATCTGCACAACAATGTCCAGAGATAAAAGAGAGGACTTGAACTCTTCTGCAAAAGCAATAAGATAATCACAAAGATCCACAGCGGCCCCTACTGTCCAAAAGCATGCATGTCAGGCTAAATAGTGACCCTAAACTAGCCATAGCAATGAGTGTGAGTATGTGCTTGTTTGTCTGTGTGTGCCCTGTGGTGGCTGGCGAGCTACCCAGGGTGTACCCCACCTCTCAACCAATCACAGCTGGGACAGGCTCCAGCCCCTCCCCGACCCTACTAGGAATACACGGTACAGGTATGCTATCAAATATTTGAGATTAACAATCAGTGGTGTCAAACCTGCTGTGGTCTGGTGCGGGGGATCCATGCTCTGGGATGGACAGAGGAGTCCTGGCTCTCACCAGGTTGTGGCTGGGATCATGAGAAAAGCTGCATGGCTCGCACAAAGTACAGGAAGTACACACACTGCAAAGAAAAGATAGACACACAGGAAATAAGTGGAGATATGTAGGAAAAGATTCTTAATGAATGGCAGACCAGGTTTTTGTGTTTTATAAGCAACAGCAGCAGAGTGAACCTGGCTGATTGTGTTGTTGGTAGGAGGGGTCCTCCACACCTACCAACCTCTGCTACAGCAATGTGGATGGTCCTGTAAGCCTCTGTCCTTAGAAATGTGTCCATGAGGCTCTGATGCAGGGCTAGCGTGGGACAGGCTCTAGTCTCGACTTTAAGGTAGAAAAAAATCAATCAGGAAGCGTTTGGATGTGGACAGATAAAATCTTTACATTTTGTAAAAGAGGAGAGGTTTGAGTAGGGTCTAAACTGCACGCTGTTCTGCAACTATGTTTCCTCTCTCGGTTAGTGCAGAGATATGGACACGAAAACCTCCAACGTCCCCAAAGCAGACCTCATTCTTTATGGAACTGTCCCCTTCCACTTAGCCCCTAGATTTCATACAGTCAGCATCACATTTATTTGCGTCAAAAATAGAAATAAATGGACCAAATGATCCTACTCTGACAGACGTGTGGCCTGCAGACCCAATCTATGTGGAACCGATGACAGGAGTGCAAACCTCCGATCTGCAGAACCAAAGCCAGGCAGGCATGGACTGTCTGAACCACGCAGACTGAGGTTTTCCAGGAGGGGGGAAGACTTAGAGACCCCGTCCCTCTGTCCTATTCACAAGTCTGCCCTGAATCTCATCAGGGTTTTTGGAAATCAGAAAAAACAGAGGAGCTTATGTCCCCCAGGCATTCTGAGGGTTTCCAAGTAGATCACCCAGAACAATGCAGGGGTGACTGTAGGAGGGGCCGGGACCAGTGGTAGAACAAGAGATAGGCAGGAGTCAGAGCGACAGCAGGCCAAAAAGTTGGCAGGTAGACTGGAATTAACATAGGTGTTACAGTATGAGAGGCTTGGTACAAACCAGGGTACTGAGGGTTAGGGTTGGACACTTGGAGATGAGTAGGCTAATGCAGAGGAAGAGCAACAAGGAGGAAGATCCTATTTATTAGGTCAAACACACAAACCGGGTCATTCACGTTACAGAAGCAGCAAGCAGAGCAGGTCAGAAAATACAGGAATCCAGTCTGCAGAAGCACTACTGGAATGGGGCTGTGCTGCGGTATGAAACACGCAGACCTGCCCATAAAGGGAGAATAACAGGTGGAGCCAGTAGTTCAGCTGGTGGCAGGTGGATTAGTCAGCCCAGCGTGAGAAGGACTCAGAGCCAGAGGCCGCTGCTGGACGCCTTCCGTCCACCTGTGGTCAGCACTGCAGCCTCAGGCCACTACTGCTGGAGGCCGTTTCCACAGAGGGGGGCCTGGACATGGCCCCTTCAGGTCCAGCGCAGCCTGCTGACCATAGAACACGCCATCACCTGCCTGCCGCAGAGCCTCATCTGGGTTAGGGTTAGAGCCGCACCGTGAGCATCGTGCTCTCTGATCGCTCCAGGGTTTTAAGGGTTTCTGTCTGTTTTCATCATTTCATTTGTGTAATAGAGACAGTAAGAGAGCTCTATCAATTGCTGACTTGTGCTATAAAGAGAAGAGATTATCGTAGCTTTCTTTAACTATCATTTTGTGCACACTGTGTGAATTCTCCTTTTTGCTCAAAAAGCAATAAAAATAATTTTGGATGTAAATCAAACAAAGGAAATGCAAACCTGTCATTGACCCATAGTTTGTGCCCTGATATCATAAACAATTTGAGTTCAAACAGAGCTTCTTTAGCTCTGCTGTAATACAGAAAAACTCAGGAGACTTTCCATCCGCTGTAGTACCCATTCATGGAAATGGTTTCTTTAAATGCATGGTGTTTCAGAGTGGGGAAAAAACACTGTAACTGTGTCATTATCAGACTGCCATTGCATTTTTCAGCCTGCGCACCCCCACACTTTGGGAATGCATGCCCGGACCCAAACACCAACTAAGTGGTTTGTTATCCCGTCCTTTACTAAACAAATGTGTCTTCTATCCTTCTGAGAAGTTTATTGTAGAGATCTTTCTAAAATTCCGTATTCAGCCTACACTGGTATTGGATTTTTAACATGACAGAGGATATCCGGTCTTCAATGCTAGAATCCCAGTTTTGGCAGTTAAAATGGAGAGAACTGGTTCAAAGTAAGACTTCTGCTCAGAAGGATCACAGAAAACCCCCCCAGTAAGGTTGCAGAGTCATGTTCAGGCAATCTGGCGTTTGGGTAAAGACTGCAACATCCGTGTACCAATATACCGCCAGTATCAATGGCAAACAAGTAGGATAGCTGTACAGATACACATATATGAATATATGGAGAGATGAAGCAGACTAGATAAATGGCAGCCCTGTAAGGTACCTGTTAGAAGGTACCTGGTGCTGAGGGCATTCAGTGTCCGCTCCAGCACAGACTTCCATTTATAGTCATCTCCAATATGTGCTACATAGCACACCCCACAAGAGATCAGCCAGAGGGGCTAAAGCAGGGCTCTGCCCGGGTGACTGCCCCCATGTCTAGTGTAAAAAGTCTGCATGAGAGTGTTTCAGTTTGGACATAAATAATAGCTCTTCTTCTCTGCTGTTTCTCACACAAAGTGACTCCCAGTGAAGTATCACATCATACCTGCACTGATAGCCTCCTCCGGTGGTCTGCCCCCTGCAGGAGGAGCAGGGGGGAGTGGAGCAGGTTGGAGCTCCGGGTAGGGTGGAGGAAGACACCTCGGTAACCTGCTGAGTCTCTGCCCCTCTCCCTGCCTCCCCCCTTCCTCCTGTAGCACCTCCTCCTGCTCCTCCTCCCAAAGGCTTGTGGATGCAGCATTGCCCTGAGAACTCCCGGCATATTTTCTCCACGGCCTCCCGAACCACCTGGTCCTTAAACTGAAGAGATGAGGAGCAGTGATGAGTGAGATGAGTAAGTCAGAGTCAGACTCCCTCCTTAGCAACACATTTGCTTCATGACATTGTCATGTGTTTTTAATGGGTTTACAGAGGCCATGGGAAGCTTCTTTCTTTTAGAGAGATGATCATTAAGTGGTCTTATCTCTTATCTCATGAGCCTGGACTTTCGGGGCTCCAACAGTTGCCGTGGGGAGTGACCCTATTTGAGTTGTTGGGGATTCCCGAATAATTATATCCTAATTCTATGATGATTATATTCATGTCTAAAGTTTGTTTCTTATCAAAAGGTCTTTCACTTAGACATTCTCCTTACCTTTTCCATGTAGGAGGTAAACCAGGCAGGGGGTGTTTTGTCTTCATCCCTGGATCCTTTCACCTCTTTCATGATAAACTGATTGATGGAGGAAAATATTCAGTTTAAGTTAAAACAACACAACTACAGCAGATTCATAAAGTCACATAGTTAACAGAACCTAGACAACCAGGAGTGGGGGTTATTGTATTCCACTGCTCCAGAATATCTTTAGAACATTTTTCAGTAATGTGTGTGACATTATTAAACTATCAAAGACATATTATAATATATTATGAAAGATAGTTTAATGTCCTATGAAGACAGTTGCTGAGAATGTCTCCTGAAAGCTTTTAAAATTGTTTAATGGTATTTTATAGAAATGAAATCGTCCTTCTTCTTCTCTCCCAGCTATCATGAAGTACCACTGAGCAGACAGAACCACTCTAAGAATATTGGGAGACATCTCAGGAATCCAGATGAGAAAGTGGAAGATAAAAAGAACATTGGATCCTTACCATGCTTTGCTCTGGAACCGCAGCCTGGACCTTGCGGCTGACCACTTGAGCAAGCGAGGGGCAGTGCTGGGGGGGCCTGAAGCCCCTCTTGGGCTCTGCTCCGCTGGCCTTAGTGGCGGACAGCCTGGCCGGTTGTCCCCGGGGCTCACACACATTCATGTGCAGTCGGTTCCCCTGCCGTGCGGCACACTGAAGCGGGAGGTCAACGGGTGGGTTAACTAGTGGTTCACACTGATGACCCCGCAGTGAGGAGCGGTCAGGGATAAGGCCAGCAGGCAGAGAGTGAGCTCAGCGCTGAGAGTACTGCCCGTGGGCGGTTCAGGCTGAAATGACCAGAGAAGCTCAGGCTGGTGCTGGCCAGGTGGACAGTGAGGAGGCACCTCTCTAACAGGTCCCCCACTTACAGGACCCCCCCCCATCTTCCACACACAGCACAGGGGCTGCAGGCCCACCTTCATCACTGGAACCAGAGCCAGCTGGCAGTGGAACCGAGAGGGAGTCAAAGCGTGTCAGGGAGAGGGGGGGGGCCAGGACCCTGAGAACAGCATCTGCTACACAGCTCTGGTGGGGGGGGGCAGTGTAGGGGGTTAGGACACCACCAGAGTTACTTAGTCTTCAGGCACTGAACTGAACAACAACACAGTGGAGAAGAGTTTTGACAGGCTTCATTTGAAGCCACTGATAAAGTAAGGGAGAAAGCTTACCTTCAGAGCCTCCTCATACTCCCCTGCAGGAGCACAGAGCAGAGCACCGTTACCCCCCTCTGCCCAGCACCCTCTACCGCCATTTCTAAGCTGGAGCCTTACCTTGGCTGTTGATGGACACCTGGAGGGACAAAATGGACAAAAGGCTGGTTTAAATGTAAATGCATATTTTGGTGACATTTAGTCAGGCATTTTAATAGTCCAAACAAAACCCTGCAGAGGGCCTTAATGACCAATGCTCGTCAGCAGGACTTTCTCTGGTTCTTTTTTGGGAAAGTAAAACACACAATAATGTTAGATCAGTAATAACACAATGAGAAGGTTAAAGCTGGCCTGTTTCCAGTCAGAACCAGAGGCAGAATGTCCAGCACAGAGCATCTGGAGCAGAGGTGTGTGGGGGCTCTGGGGTCCTCGGGAGCCTTTGAAAACTTTTGGTGCAGAGTTCTGGGTAGCTGTTCCAGGGCCGGAGCGTTTTTTTTGTATTACATTTGTTGGGAACCTTCCCAGATGAAATCATTCATCCGTGGAGGAGAGTGGGTTTTATTTCCAGACAGACGGCCCACACAGTAAAGCCTCCGGGGCTCAGAGTCCAGAGGATCCCGCTGAGGAGGATCCTGACCGGACGGCCGGCCTGGTCAGGTGTTCAGGGCACGCCCCACCAGCAGCACACCCAGAGGGAGACCCGGGACACGCTGGAGGGAGGGGCTACGTTTCTTGGCTGGTTCACTCAAATTCAATTGTACTCAACTTTATCTACACAGCACCAAATTCAGAGCATGTCACCTCAGGGCACTTCCAGAATAAAATCCAGGATGAAGTGATCCAGATTCACCCAACTCAGTCACTCCAGAGATCCCGCTCATTTAACTCCACAGAGAAGAAAACCTTTTGAAGAAAAGGTGGGTTATCAGAAAAAAAACTTTTACAATCATAGGATCCTCTCACCTCCTCATTCTCCTCATCAAAGTATGTCAGCTGCAGGCTGCACAAGCCCAAGGAGCGCTTCACCTGCAAACACACACACACACACACACAT